GATCCTTATAGAATCTCGACAGCTTATATGAACAAGATTCGTACTTGGCCTAATCTTAAGAATGAGGACAACGTAGGACTCAAGCAATTCTCTATTCTTCTGACAAAGTGTTATCATGTAATGAGAGGTATTTCTCATATGATTGTCCTTAATCATGCACCAAACATGCAGTGTGTTGTTTTGAAGCTCCCGGCGTATCTCCAAAGCAGGTGGAGGGATCGCGTTACGACTATGAAACTGAATGGGAAGGAGGAAGTGGAGTTCAAGCATCTCGTTGACTTCATCGACTTTCGCTGCAAGATCTGCAAATGAACCTATCTACAGTAAACAGGCACTGCTCTCCAAACATGATGATACAAGTCGTAAGGATAGGTTCTCTGATAAGTATAAACAATCAAACAAGTCTCAATCCACAAGTTTCGCTACTCATATCGGAAGTGAATCACAAAGTAAAAGCAAAGGCATCTCTTTGCTTCCACTGTAAACAGTCTCACGATCTTGACGACTGCAAGTTATTTCTACAAAAGACACTTTCTGAAAGACGAGAGTATTTGAAGGAGAGTAACCGGTGTTACAGTTGTTATGGACTTAACCACATTTCAAAAGTTGCATGAAAAAAAGAACTTGTAAACACTGTGGCAAACGTCATCCTACTGCTTTACATGATTACAATTTTCAATCAAGACAGGGGCAACCGGACTATGTTTCAAAAGAGAAGTCATCCACTGGCGAGTCTAATGTCATCACTGGAGCTACGTTCTGTGACAATCAACGATTCAAGGTTAAAGAGACTGTGCTTCAACCTATACTTCCTGTTAACGTCCGACAGAATGGAGGCGATAGGGTTGTGCAAACGTACGCCATGTTGGACAATGGCAGCACAGGATGCTTTATCACAGAAGGACTCAAGGATGAACTTCAAGCAAAGTCAACACCAACGTTGCTGAGGTTGCAAACGATGAACGGAACAGACCTCATCAACACAACAGTGGTATCAGATATTGTGATCTCCGACCTCTCTGATAGACAGTTTGTTAGTTTGCCACGCACATTTTGTAAAGATGTAATGCCTGTCGGTCACGACAATATTCCTAAATCGGATGCTTTGATGCAACTACCAGGCCTCAAGAATGTTGCTGAAATGATGCCGCTGTATCGACCAGACCTGAATATTGGCCTTCTTATCGGCAGTAACTGTTCAGATGGTCTTCGACCTCTTGAAGTCACCCCATCATCTGGCAATGGACCTTTTGCTGTGAAGTACAAACTTGGTTGGACAGTAAATGGCCCTCTTCAGGTCAAGTGTAATTTGGAAGACAAATCAGTTGTATGCAACATGGTTGCTCTAAAGGAACATGAGAAGGTATCAGAATGCATCACCCCTGACACTGTGCTGAAGTTGTTTGAACTAGACTTTAACGAGGCTGATGTTGGGAAAGTCCCTGGTGAACGAGGCTATTCCATTGAAGATCAAAGATTTATAAAGGAGACCGAGGAAAAATTGAGGTTCGTAGATGGGCATTATGAAATTCCTCTTCCTTTTCGTAACGATTTAAATATGCCATCAAACAGGGAGCAAGCTGTAAAAAGGGTACTTTGGCAAAAGAAAAAGATGATGAGCAATGCACAGTATCATAAAGATTATGTTGCATTCATGGATACACTGCTGGCAAAGGGTTATGCCATTGAAGTTCCTGCAAACGAGATTACTTGCCAACCTGGACGCGTCTGGTATCTGCCACACCATGGAGTGTATCATCCGAAAAAGCTGAACAAGATCAGAGTGGTCTTTGACTGTAGCGCCAAGTATGGAGGTTTATCAATCAATGATGTTCTTCTACAAGGCCCCGATCTTGCCAATTCTCTCATTGGTGTTTTAGCTCGTTTCAGAACAGACCAAGTTGCCTTCATGGGAGATGTAGAGGCCATGTTTCATCAAGTCAAGGTTCCACGGGAGCACCAGGACTATCTACGGTTTCTGTGGTGGCCTGATGGTAATGTTCATAGTGAGCTGAAGGAGTACCGCATGACTGTGCACACTTTCGGAACTGTATCCTCTCCCACTGTTGCCAATTATGCCCTGAAAAGCACAGGAGCCAAGTCCAGATCTAACTATGACGACCAGGTTGCACAAACGATAGAACGCAATTTCTATGTCGACGACTGCTTGAAATCTGTGGAGTCTGATGAGTGTGCTAGTGACTTGATAAAGAATGTAAAGCTTGCATGTGCGGATGGTGGATTCAACTTGACAAAGTTTACAAGCAGCAGCAAGATGGTCCTGTCCTCCATTCCTCAAGAACATCGCTCCAAGGAGATTCAAGCCGTTGACCTCAGTCGAGATGATATTCCCATGGAGAGAGCACTGGGGCTTCAGTGGGATACCAAGCTGGATTGCTTCAAGTACACGGTTGACTTGCCAGAGAAGCCGTTTACTAGACGAGGAATTCTGTCCATGGTGTCCTCCTTGTATGACCCTCTAGGTCTCGTCGCACCGGTGCTGCTGCCTGCTAAAAGAATCCTTCAAGACTTGTGTAAGGACAAGGATCTAGGCTGGGATGACAACATCGGTATGGAGTTCGCAGGCAGATGGACAAATTGGCTCCAGGAAGTCGAAATGCTCAAAGGTCTAACTGTTAGAAGATGTCTGAAGCCTCCTGATTTTGGTGATGTATTGTCTCAACAGTTACATATCTTCTCTGATGCTAGCTCCACAGGATATGGTTGCTCTGCATACATTAGGCTTTTTGACATAAATGGAAACATCCACACAACACTTCTCCTGGGCAAAGCTTGACTGGCTCCTTTGAAAACCCTGACTATTCCCAGATTAGAACTGACAGCTGCTACTGTGTCTGTGAAAATAGGACAATTTCTCCTGCGGGGAACTGGATGTAAACATTGACCGTGTCACCTACTACACAGATTCAACAACTGTTCTGCAGTATATTCGCAGTGAAAAGAACAGATTTCCAGTGTTCGTCACCAACCGAGTGAAGCTTATCAGGGACGTCAGTACACCAGAACAGTGGAAGTATGTCGATTCCAAAACCAACCCAGCTGACATTGCATCTCGAGGATCTAGCTGCTCACAGTTCCTGAAATCCATTGAATGGTTCAATGGTCCAAAGTTCTTGAGAATGCCTGATTCAAAATCAATTTCGGAACCTCAGAAAACAATTGAAGCTGCTGTGATGTCAACGTTGAATAAGACAGCGGATTCCCCTGGAGATGTTGTTAGTAAACTCCTCAATTATTACTCATCCTGGTACAGACTGAAAAAGAGCAGTCGCAATCTATCGCAGGTTCTTCAACTTTCTGAAAAGCAAGTCTCAAAAGGAAAGCCTCAGCTAACGCTCTTTTGTCACTTCAAGAACTCATAGACTCCGAGAAGAGTATTCTTTTCCTTTGTTCAGCACATGGAGTATGGCTCAGAAATCGCAATCCTCTCTAAGAACACAGAAATGGGTTATCGACCCACTGTACTACCAAGAAGTAGTCCTGTCCGCAATCTCTGCCCATGCTTTGTGGATGGTGTACTCAGAGTTGGAGGTCGTTTGAGCAATGCCAACATCAGCGACACCATGAAGCATCCTGTCCTATTGCCACGTAAGTCTCCTCTATCCGATCTGATTGTTCGTGATGTACACGAGAGACTAGGTCATGCTGGTAGAAACCATGTCCTGTCTGCACTAAGAGAGGAATTTTGGATTACAAACGTTAATTCTGCTGTCAGAAGTATTTTGAACAAATGTGTACTTTGTAGGAGATTAAAGATGTCCACCGGTCAGCAGATTATATCCGATCTCCCGACCAACAGGGTACAGCCATCTCCACCATTCACCTGCACTGGACTAGATTGTTTTGGCCCTCACACTGTCAGAGAAGGACGCAAGGAAGTAAAACGGTATGGTGTCCTGTTTACTTGCATGATTAGCAGAGCTGTTCACATAGAGACTGCCAACTCCTTAAATACAGACTCCTTTATTAATGCTCTTAGACGTTTTATCGCCCGCAGAGGAGCTGTGAAAGAGATCTCTTGTGACAACGGCACAAACTTCACTAGTGGAGCCAAGGAACTTTGTCATGCACTTGATGAAATCGACCAGTCTGAAGTTCACAATTACTTGTTGAAACTGAACATCATCTGGAAATTCAACCCAGCTTCAGCCAGTCATATGGGAGGTGTATGGGAAAGGCTGATACGGTCTGTCCGTGGTGTTCTCAACCCGCTTCTCCAAGAATACAGTCAATGCCTTGATGATGAGCTGTATAGAACACTCCTGTGTGAAGTTGAGTCGATTTTGAATTCTAGGCCTCTGACAACAATGTCCAGTGATCCGTCAGATGTAGAACCATTGACACTCAACCATTTGCTGATGGTAAGATCCAGTGCGTACATTCCACCACCTGGAGTATTTCAGGCATCTGATGTCTACGCACGCCGCCGATGGAGACGTGTACAGTACTTGGCAGAGCTTTTCTGGAGTAGATGGAGAAAGGAGTACCTTTTAACACTTCAGAAACGTCAGAAATGGCAAGCTCCAAAAAGGAACTTCAAGGTAAACGATATTGTTCTGGTCAAGGACGATAACCTCCCCAGGAATGCTTGGCTCATGGCTCGCGTTGTGGACACTGAACCCGACAGTCGTGGCTTTGTCAGAAGTGTGACCCTCAAGACAAGAGGTTGAGATCTCCGAAGGCCAATTCACAAACTAGTATTGCTCGTACCTGCTGCAGAATAAGTTGATTATCTCAGGTATTAAGTGTTGTCAAGACCAGTTAGGTATTCCGCATTATTGTATTGTTTTGTCTTAAACACCCTAGGTGTGTTTAACGGGCCGGGTGTGTTAATGCTAAATACAAGTTATGTTATATTCAGTAATGTTAAGCATTGTTAAATCAGGCATGAATGAGTGTATTGTACGGTGGCCTAGTGGTTAACACATTAGACTTGTGATCCAAAGAGCTAGGGTTCAAATCCAGCGTAATGGCAAAACTTTTGTAAATTTAATTAGTAAATATATAGCCTCATTTTCATTATTGATGGTCACATGACCTAACCCTTGCACAAAATCTTCATGCAAAGGCTGATTCACTGTGCTATCCACATGGTCACTTGGCTGTCTGCAAATCTCTCCGTATGGCAACACAAATGTGAGTACTTTTAATCATACATTGTATAACTTTATATGACATTTGAATAGTATATGTTGTTGGAGTTATCATGGGAATATTTTGACCATTATTATTTTGTATTTTGATAGAAAGCTGCTATTGAAGCATGTTACTCAAATGCGTTGTCGGACGATCTTCAAACATTTTACCTAACAATTTTGAATAGCTATATTTGATAATTATGAAATCCTATATTTGAAAATTCAGAAAAGTTATATGTAAATGCTGTAATTGATGTATTAGCTAAAAGAATCATTTTGTTTCTTTTAGTTTCTTAAACCTCATCGATGGACCGAGTCATGTCAACGATAATAAGCCAATGACTTGTCACCGACTACCGAAAATCGTAACATTAATAAATCCCTGTCGATGCGAGTTTTCGAGTTGTGTTCTTGCATCTACATATATTGATAAGACTACATTATAACGTTATAATATATTTACACTAACATTATATATACATTACAAATTACAAAAAACACACTCTCGTAACACATTCCCCCTTAAGGAAAAAGAAAGTTTCACAGAAACTTTCTGTTACAATCATAGCAAAATACTAACATAATATGATGACATGTAATAATATGAATAACATGAGAAACATCTTGCAGAATTACTATGATATAATGCAGATACAAACATACAGCATCAGGTCATTATACATTTACAACCTTGAAAGTGCATCAGCACAAACATTGTCTTTGCCTTTAATGTGTCTAATCACAAGATTGAGCCCTTGCAAAGTCAAACTCCACCTCATAAGTCTTTGATTCTTATTCTTCATTTTATGAAGAAAAGTCAAGGGATTGTGATCAGTAAACACCTCAATTGGCAAAGTAGTGGTACCTAAGTACACTTCAAAATGCTGCAAAGCTAGCAAAAGACCTAACGTCTCTTTCTCAATGGTAGAATAATTTGTTTGATGCTTGTCAAACTTCTTGGAAAGATAACAAACTGGATGTTCAATTCCCGAATCATCCTCTTGAATCAGGACAGCACCTGCACCTACATCACTTTGTAACTTAAATGCTTTCTCAAAATTTGGTGCCTGCAATACTGGAGAATTCATGAGTATGGCTTTGACTTTTTCAAATGCAGTTTGACAACTGCTATCCCACTGGAATTTTACCTTTTTCCCCGAAAGGTTGGTAAGTGGTGATACAACATCTGAGAAATGTAACTAAACTTTCTATAATAGACATACCCAAGAATCTCATGAGTTCTCTCTTAGACTGAGGTACTGGAAAATGTACAATAGCTTCAACCTTAGCATGAACTGGCTGTACCTGGCCGTGCCCTACAACATGCCCTAAAAATTCAACTTGTGCCTTTCCAAATTCACACTTTGCAAGATTCACAGTCAATTTTGCTTCAGACAGTCTATCGAAGAAAGCACGAGTTCTCTTCAGATGGTCTTCCGACTCCATGTCGTAATTGATGACATCATCCATGTAAGCTTTGACACTATCAAGACCAGATGTGACATTGTTGACGAGTCTCTGAAACATCGCTGGTGCGTTCTTCAAACCAAACGGCATCACTTTGTATTGATACAGTCCATCTGGTGTAGCAAATGCCGATATTTTCTTTGCACGGTCTGTGAGTAGAATCTGCCAGAAGCCCTTCAATAAGTCAAACTTACTTATATATCTAGCTTGACCAATGTGATCAATGCAATCGTCCACTGTCGGTATTGGATACGAATCAGTTCGTGAGAGTGCATTGACAGCTTTCATGTCAGCACAGCAGCGCCAACCACCTCCACTCTTCGGCACAAGAACACATGGTGAACTCCACGGACTGTCACTGGGTTCAATAATGTCAATGTCCAGCATGTATTTCACTTCTTTCCGCAGAATCTCACGTTTCACTGGATTCATACGATATGGGTGTTGTTTTACAGGCACAGCATCACCTACATCTATATCATGGCTAACAACATTAGTCCGGCCAGGCACATCAGGAAATAAATGAGAGAACTCACGAATCAAATCTGACATTTGAACTTTCTGCTCAGGGGATAAATGTGATAGTTTCTCACCAAGGTGAGCTAACACATCAGAATTTCTTAACTTTGGTGAAACATTATGACTAAGGTCATCAAACTTCTCATTGCTAACACCATCATCAATGTTGTCAACATGTTCACCATTGTCTTTAGTACAATCAGTAACTGGGGAGAGCGTGTGGCAATACAAGTGATCTGTTTGGTTTCTAACCTGTCATGATATTTCTTAATCATGTTTACATGACACAACCTCTTTTGTTAACGATGGCCAGGCATCAGGATGACATAGTCTGTGTCGCTAACCTATTTGTCGACAACACATGGACCTTGATATCTAGCTCTCAGTGGTTGACCAGGAATGGGAAGTAAAACTGACACTCTCTCACCATGAATGAAATTTCTCTCTTTTGACTTTCTGTCATAGTTTTGTTTCATTTTTGCTTGTGAAACTTTCAAGTTTTGTCTTGCCAACTCACATGCTTTTGAAAGTCTGTCCCGAAATGTAGACACATAGTCTAAAAGATTGATCTCAGGATTGTGATTGAGCCATTGTTCTTTTAAATGTTTTAGTGGTCCGCGCACACTATGACCAAATACAAGCTCAAAGTGGCTAAAACCTAAACTTTCCTGAACTGACTCCCTGACAGCAAACAACAAAAATGCACACCCTCATCCCAATCTTTCTCTGTCTCAAAACAATAAGTCTTGATCATATTCTTCAAGGTTTGATGAAACCTCTCTAAAGCTCCCTGTGACTCCGGATGATAAGCACTAGACTTAACTTGCTTAATACCCAACTGGTACATAGCTTGTTGAAACACCTTAGACATAAAATTTGAGCCCTGATCAGACTGAACAACCTCTGGCAAACCAACCAAGGTGAAAAAACTTGATCAAAGCCTTGACAATCACAGGAGCAACAATCCTACGAAGTGGACTTGCTTCAGGAAATCTGGTAGAGGCACACATAATAGTGAGAAGATACTGATTACCAGACTTTGTCTTAGGTAGTGGACCAACACAATCAATAACAACTCTATGGAAAGGTTCCTCAAAAGCCGGTATAGGTTTTAAAGGAGTGGTAGGAATTTTCTGATTTGGTTTCCCAGCAATTTGGCATGCAAAATTCAGCCACATCTTGTCTCAAACTGGGCCAAAAGAAATGTGTCAAAATTTTCTCACAAGTTTCGTTTACACCCAGATGACCTGCCATGGGACTTTCATGTGCCAATGAAAGTACATGCTTTCAAAATAATTTTCGTACCACGATTTCATGATACAATTTCCATCCATCCTCCGCGGGAACGTCCGGCGACCTATATTTCCTCACCAGAACACCATCCTTGAAGTAATAACAAACTGGAACCTTGCTTACATCCTTAAAAGAAACAGCCTTACTAGCCAACTTCTGCGATTCAACATCCTCAATCTGCGCACTAATAAGCTGCTCTATGGAAAGAATGTGATCACCACCTGACAAACTATCAGACTTATCAAGAAGACCTGAAGAGTTACTACTCTTTGAAGAAAAGTCACCACACTCTACCTCACAAATAGAATGATCCATGAAAGTATTTGACAAATCATAAATGGTATCATTCGGCAAAGAAGTCTTGGAAGAAATGCCTTTCGACATTAAACGAGTCACTGCACAAGAAGGAAAAAACCCCGGAAACTCATTCTCCAACTTTTCTGTACTAACTGAACTCTCAGGAGAAACAGTGACAATGGGATCAGCACCAACCTTGGCCCCCATAAGATCATTACTGATCAACAAATCGACACCCGGAACTGTGAGAGAGTCAAGAACACCAACTTTCACCTCACCAGAAATCAGATCTGAAGTTAAATTCACAAAATGGAGAGGAGCAGGAGAATTGCCACCTATAACCTGAAGCAAAACATCCGAGTTCGCTGAAGACTCATCAGAAAAAGGCAAAATATCCTTCAAAATCAGAGATTGAAGAGCTCCAGTATCCCTCAAGATAATAACGGGGCGTGGGGTAGAATTATCTCCCATAAGCGACACAGAACCCTTAAAAACAAAGGGCAAAAACTCCTTCTGAACTACAGAATCTGGGGACTTACTCTCACAAATAAACTCTCCTCAGAACCACCTAGAAAGAAAAGCTTAGGTACGATAGACACAAAAGCATTTGGGGAACCTGCAGCCTGATTTTTAAACTGGAGTTTGTAACATGCAGAAATGAAATGACCTGGCTTCTTACAATATGCACAAACAGGATCAGAACCACTGGAAGTCTTAGGCTTAGACTGTAAAGAATGTGACTGCTTGTCACAAGAATTTGAACCTGTTCTAACACCACTGTAACCTGCATGTCCTAAAGTCTTACCCGGGGAAAACCCCTTTTGGCCAGAAAACTTTGTATTAACCGGAGACCTAAAAGAACTCTTGTGAGTCAAACAATAATCATCTGCCAACATCACTGCCTCATGTAAGTCATCAACCTTATGTTCATCCAAATAAGTCTTGAGATCAGAATGAACACTCTGCTTGAAATCTTCCATTAAAACTAACTGTCTCAAACTCTCAAAATCTGTGACTTCCTTAGACCCACACCACCTATCAAACAAAGTTTCCTTTTCTCTAGCAAACTCTACAAAAGTCTCATTGTCCCTTTTATGAGCATTTCTTAATTTCTGACGGTAAGCCTCAGGAACTAACTCATAAGCTTTAAAAAGTGTCTTTTTGACAAGATCATAGTCTGAGCTTTGCTGTATCGACAAGGTCGAGTAAGCATCCTGAGCTTTACCCTTCAAAACAGTTTGCAGTAGCATAGTCCATGACTCCCTAGGACACTTGAGGTTTTCAGCAACTTTTTCAAAATGTACAAAATATTTGTCTACTTCTTTCTCATTAAAAGGAGGTACCAGTCTTGCATGCCTTGCAATGTCAAAAGAGGAAGAATGTAATAGAGGAGAAGACTTTTCTAACCTTTTCAGTTCAATGTCGAATTTTTTGAATTCTATTTCTTTTCTTTCTCTTTCTCTTTCTCTTTCTTTTTCTATTTCTCTCTCTATTTCCATCCTTTTTAGCTCTTCTTGTTTTCTATTTTCCTCTTTTTGAATTTGTTACTGGATTTCAAGCTTTTTCATCTCAAAAGTTTCTGAATTATCTTCTTTCATCATTTCCAAAACCTCATGCCCAAAATTTCCTCATCAATAAAGTGATTCAGCACAATTTTCAAAATCTGAAATTTCCTCATAGCAGGTTTGGCCTCAAGTTTGAAATGTGAAGAAATTTTGCAATAAATCTGATTTGCACAATCCACTGACTGTCTCAGGGGGTAGGGGATTCAAGAAACTTCTCAAGTTCAAACACCATTTTGCTGGTTTCACAATTAAC